AAGGTACCTTTTATTCTTTTAAAGGAAGACTAAGAACAATGCTCAGATCTTGATTAGATTGTAATGATTAACCTCAGACAGGGACCTGCGTTGACATTCTATTGCACAACATATTTTTTAATGAAAAGATGAGATCCAAATTTAGTCTCTTAATTTGTACTCTATGCCATTTACATGCTACTTGTAAAGTAGCTTCAATCTTTTTGCATTGTTTTAAATACAGAACTCCTTGCAGGTAGCAACTAAGGAAGTAGATTGGCTTGGACACGTCTCTTTCTTTCCCTGTGCTAATTTTGGTTGTTTTTTTTTTATTTTCACACCAGAAGAAGATTCAAAACTGTCATTCTCAGTCATAGTCCAATAGTTGTATTTTGCCACATTGTCCCAAAGGTGCTTTTTTCAAAAGACAATTGGACTTTGTTTTTCCTTGAAGATGTTTCGCTTCTCATCCAAGAAGCTTCTTCAGTTCTAACTGAGTGGGGGCAGGATGGAAGGATTTATATTCCTGCAAATATGCTCCACCACTCAGTCAGAACTGAAGAAGCTTCTTGGATGACAAGTGAAACGTTTTCAAAGAAAAAAAAACCAAGAAAGTCCAATTGCCTTTTGAAAAAGGAGCTTGGGGACAGCCATGACCTGGATGACCTAGAATCTCCACAGACATTCTACCCACATTGTTACATGACTCCATGCACATCGTGGTTTAGAGCAGTGGTTCTCAAACTTTTTAATGCCGTGACCCCCACCAGTCATAAGTCGAGGACTACTCAACCGGTCGTAAGTCGAGAACTACTCAACTGGTGCAGCACCGTTTGCAGAATGGGACTTTTGGCGGGCTCAGCAGGGCAGAGACAGCCTGGACAATTCCTATTGGCTTTTGAAAGCCAATAGAATTAGACTCTATTCAAGAGAGTCTATTCTATTGGCTTTCAAAAGCCAATAGAATAAAAGGGAGTAGCACAGCTAAGGAAAAGGGGGAAAAATGGTGGACTGCGTTGTTTGGTGACCCCCGTGAAATGGTCGTTCGACCCCAAATGGGGTCCCAACCCACAAGTTGAGAACCATTGGTTTAGAGAGACCCTTCCTTCTTCCTTAAATTTGAAAGTAATTGAATTTCGTGGTCAGTTATTTGGAGGAAAAAAGGGAAGAAACACAATGGTGAAAGTTTGTTTTCCTTGCCCTCTGCTTTAACATTTCTGCTCCCTTGGGAGTTGCAGAGAGGGGGTGTCTTCTAAATGAAAGCCGTAAAACAGGACTGTGATGGCCCAGCACAAGTGATGCAAAGGAGAATGTGAAAGGTTTCACCTCCGAGACTTGAAGAACGGAAAGCAATAAGGAGAAACGAGAACTTAAACCCTGGAAAATTACTACAAATGGTCTATTAAATCCAGAGCTTTTCTTTGGGTCTCTGGTTGTGTGTGTGTGTGTGTGTGTTTTTCCTGAGCCAAACAGATTAAGGGAATGTAAGGAGGCAAAATTGAGGAGAAATGACCTTGTGCCCTTTCCAGGGAAGCTGCTTAAACTTTAACTGGACTCTCGCTGTTGACCACCAGCAGCAGAATAAGTCAGGACAAGAATGCCTATAGGGCCTTTTGCAGCTGGCTGCAGACATGGAAATCGGCACTGTTGGGTAGCTAGTGCGTGTTTCCTGTGTGTTGCCCAATAATAAATGTTAGGTGCATTTTCTCTTGTGACTTTCAGGGTCATGTTCAAAGTTGCTGCTGAAAGATTAGAGGAATGGACGGGATGGGATGGACTACGGTAGAGTAAAATACATCCTCTGGTATCTGCTATCTTTTCATGTTTCTAACAGCTGACTCCAACACATAAAGACGAGAGAGAGAGAGAGAGAGAGAGAGAGAGAGAGAGAGAGAGAGAGAGAAGGACAGGGAAAAAGGAGGAAGGATCAGCAGAGGTTCGTAGGAGGGGCCTCTTCTCCGCCGGATTCTTTAGAAGGAAGCAAATTTGGAAGGCCACCTCAGCTTCATCCAGGTTTATAAAGGCTGAGCCTGCCCAGTAGCATCAAAATGGAGAATTTCTGTTGAGAAAGAAAGAAAGATGACAGCACTTTCTGGAGTAGAATCCCCTCTTTGAAGGGAAGCCATGGCTGGAGCTGATGTTAGGAAGAGGGAGATAAGCAACAGGGCTGTGATGGTATCTCATAAGCTCCAATCTTGTTCAAATGCATTGGTGATAAGATGTCACACTGCATATTTCACTACCCTATTTCTGCAAGTTGTTAAGGGAAAGGGGAGGGAGGGCAACAAATCATTACCCACAATACATCTTCTAGATATTATAAATGGAAGTTACTGTTCCTCTCCCCTCCCTTCTCCTTCCTTCCTTCCTTCCTTCCTTCCTTCCTTCCTTCCTTCCTTCCTTCCTTCCTTCCTTCCTCCCTTCCTTCCTTCCTTCCCTTTTTCAAGGGTTCTGGCATAATACTTTAACCACTGCTGGTTTAATTTACGAATAGTCTAAGATCCATAATAGCTGGATTCCCACATGTTAAGCTAAACCAATCATTACACGAATTAAATCTAGGGGTATAGGGTGATATAGGATCGTCTCTGCCACCCTTCCAACGGGAATCTCTGAAGCTGTCCTCTTCTAAACGCTGGGAGATGCCAGTCTCCTATCCTTCTCCCCATTGCCTGCAGTCCAAAATTCAAGATAAAGTTAGCAGTTTAGAGTTATAAGAGAGCAGCTGAGAGCGGGCTCTTGATACAGTAGTAGAGCCTTAATATCAGTAGTGGGATTCAGCCAGTTCGCACCAGTTCGGCAGAACCAGTAGCTAATTTTTTGTTGCCCAGGCCCAGAAGGGACTTCCAGAAGCGGCATCCACACAGAGAACCGGTTGTTCCCATATTTGAATCCCACCACTGCTTTTTTTTTTTTTTAATAATTATTTTTTATTTTTCCAAATTCTCCCCCATACATATACCGTGATATTTATCAGATGTTAACATACATTCTTTTTACATTCATATATAAGATACTTTTAATAAAATGAAATAATTACATACACATGACTTTTGGTGTTGCTTGCCCATTTCCCCTTATACATATTAAGCAGTGGTGGTGGAATCCCACCACTGCTTAATATATATAGCTGCCCAGAGTCTTTGAGAGTGGTTGATCATTGTAAATACAATTGAATGAATGAGGTGACCAACAATTCCCAGGCTTGGCTCACATGCATATCATGTGGTCAAGATGCTTGAACTTGCCTCTGGGAAGCCTGAGTTGTTCTTTCACCATGACCCCCACTCAACAGGCTTAAGCAAGCTACTCTTTCTCAATCTCACCCCTGAAAAACTGAAAGGCGACCGTCCTGATGGATGTGGTTTGCCTGAAAAAAAAAAAATGTATCCTGATAATGCAAGTGAGAGCCGGTTTGGGATAGTGGCGAAGACACCAAGCTAGAAACCAGGAGATTAGGTCTGCCTTGGGCTCGAAGCCAGCTGAGTTGACCTTGGGCCAGTCCTTCTCTGTCATCCCCCGAAAGAAGAAGGCAAGGACAGACCACTTCTGAAACCCTGCCAAGAAAAGTGCAGGGATTTGTCCTGGCAGTCACCAGGAGTCAACATTGACTGGAAGGCATCAAAAAAAGGGGGGGAAAAAAAAAGCAAGTGAAGAGTTTTGAACAAATTTCTTGTTTTTATTAGAAATGTTGCAGCAAAAGTACCTGGATACCTGCCCTGTTTTGCAATTGTATATTCATTTCTTCTGCAAAAAAACAAGTTTTGGTAGTTGGTGGTGCTTTTGTTCTGTTGTTTTACCTCTAATCCAATACCGATGAAAATTAAAACCCAGGCGAAATAGAAACATGGTCTGAATAGAAGCAACCTAATTTGTCTTTTCTGTTGAGTGGCAAACAGAAGGGATTCCTTCCCTGTATTGCCTAGGCAACAACACTTCTCATATAGTCCCTCCTCATGAATTGAAGCACTCCAGGATCATATGTCTTGGGTGCTGTGGTATGTGTGTCTGAATGCTGCATGCCACTCTCATAATCAAGGTTTCCATACGTAGGAATGCATAAGGTAAACCTCTGTCTCCCCAGCCCATAAAATGCAGTTTCTTGCTCTGCATCATAAATTATAGCGTTGTGTGTGAGAAAAAAAAATAAGTTCATCTTCTATATCCAGGTCGGACAACTTTCCGGATGAATGTTCAGCCTCAAAGGAGCCATGAGTTTTGGGTCACTTTCAAGAGTAGCACATGTATGTGATGCTGCATTTCTTCAAATGGCAGGAGATACTTGATGCCTTCAACTTGGAGAAGAGACCTCCAGTTCTGTTTTCATACCCTAGTGACAATTTCATGCTTTGTGCTTTCAAAGTTCATGCTTGTTTTCCCAGTTGGGAGGCATTCCAAACCTTCCCCATATGTCTCTAAAGCAGAACCATGGCAGGGTTTGGGCTCAGCACTTGCTTGAGTCACAAAGCTTTAAGCAGAACATTTGCAGAAAGCTCCAGTGTGATGGCAGCGTCACTGAGCCCTGATTTATACATGCGCATTCCTCTCTTGGCCCTTTGCCCACCATCCCGTGACATTTTGCATCCTGAAATAGGTCATAATGCACCACAGGTTAAATTTCTCTGTCATTTCTCATGCCGCGAGAGTTTTTTTTTCTGCAGAGTTAATTCATGCATTCACACACAGTCACCACGGTCAAATCTACACTGAGCAATCACAAACGAAGTACTTATCAACTCGCTAGTAGTAACTGTGCTACTGTAAGAGCTTCTTGTAACTTTTATTGGTTCCGGCATTAAAGTGGAGAAAATACACTGCTAGCTGCTCTGAAGGACAGTCATGAGGTAGAATTTAAGCCATTAGTCTTACCTA